TTTACGTATTTATGTAAATAAATAAATACTTTAATTGAGTTACATTGGGTTAAATAAATACTTATTATACTGACTCGTATGAATTATTAAGGAATATTACTTTAGCATATCAACGTCATTAAAAATAAAAATCAATATACTCAATATTTAATAAAATAACGGCATTATCTATGTTAAACCACTTTTGACGTTTTTGATGCAGTCGTTAATTTCGCCAGTTAAGAAAGCATTTTTCTTATTAACGATTAGTTTCATTTGTTCTCCAGATTTTCCGGACTTATGCAAGTAATATTTCAGACACCCTAAAATGAAATGAAGACATGTAATAATGCAAAAAAATTAGCAAGAAGTTAAAAATCACCAATTTAAAATAGAAACGTACGTACTTTTTATCGTTTCATGTTCATATGCATTGACCGGAACACAGCGATTTTGACCATTAGGAGTGTAACATGGTTTGTCAACCTGTACGCACCTTTTGCTTACATTTAGTCGCCATTGTCCATTTTCATCCTTGTGCATCATTCTAAAGAGGTTAATCGTAAACTTTCGCTCGTCTTTTAATTTCAATAACACTTTCCAATCGTCTAGAAGAATTTTTTTTTCTTTATTTAGCCAGATGAAAGACACCTGAAAGAAAGAAAAACTTTTGTAATAATTAATGTAAACAGTGAAGGAATGAACATTCATATGCCAAAAATAGAATACAGACCGTCACATTTTCAGAGTTCGTTAAAGTTTCCTTATGTAAAAAATTGGCAAAGTATGATTCTTCAAGAACTCCACTGCATGACTCTTCACCATTCGAAATAACAGGTTCAGGATCACTGGGTTTTTTAGCAACAAAAGGAGGTTGTTTTGATTGTTTTGCCGAAGGTGTTGACTCATTATCAAATATCAATTTTCCTACAGTTATAAAAAATTATGTTTATATATCATAATAAAATACATTTTTTTATTTACTTTCTATATGAAATGTTTTTATGTATACCTTGTTAACACAGTAATGTATACATATCTGAAATTGAATTTTAGTGTCGAAACAGAGTTTTCAAAATACATAATTTTACTTTAAGGCGACGTCGAACGACTGAATCGACCCGAGTGTAAAAAAAAGATTTCGCGGGTTTTTCCGATTTCGGTTTTTCAAGGTTTCCTCGAGGAAAAATGAATTTTTTGAAGAAACATCGAAAGTATGATTCCAATGGGTGCTCAGAACCCATTTTTTCAAAAATCGACGAAATATAAAAAAGTTTCAGGTTTTTTTCGACTCGCGGATTATTTGGGTTTTTTCCGGAAAAACTTGATAATTTGTAGTGGAACTTGCAAAAAGCATATCATACTTTCGATGTCCCCTCAAAGTTTCAGCCCAAACAAATCATTTTTTTCGCGAGAAAACTTTAAAAACCCGATATCGGAAAAAACCCTTCGTTATAATCTCCTGGACGTCCCTACCAACTTTCAGCGCAATTGGGTAATCATTTACTCGTAAAGTTGGAATAACTGGGGATCCGCTCGGGTCGATATAGTCGTCAGACGTCGCGTTAAAATGAGAATAACCTCCATCTTCAAAGCATTCAGATCTTTACATTACTGTATTCAAATTTTACTTACTTTTTCTCTTTGGTTTTGGCGTGCTTGATTTTATTTCTTCGGTGCACAAAATGCTGTCATCGTTTTCCAAATTTTCCTCTGTATTTGGACTCAATGCAAGACAGTCAGGACTTTGCTTCGTATGAGAAACAATTGAAGTGTCATCATCAAAGTCTTCATTAAAAGAACCATCTATTTTCTGGTTTTCAATTTCCATTAAATCCATTGGAGCTGATGATTTTATACGATTTGCCAAAGGACTCTAAAAATACATTTTACATGTTCATTATATTACTTTTACATACTTAATAATGATGTACTTATAGAAATACTTTAGTTATGGGGACAATAGCAGAACATAGAAATTTATGTGACGCTCTTTCTTTGCGTTTATGTTAAAAAAAATCCATATAGAAATTAATCTAGAGAAACAACGTCGAAATCTATCCGGAATTTACTAATCTACATTCATTTTTAAAATTAAAAAAACTATATCCGTGTAGAAGTTAGTGTAAGAATCCATATGAAACTAGAAATTGTAAAAATCCATTTCAATCGCTGGTATTTTGGATTAGAATCTGTATGGGAATTAGTGTAAAAATATATATGCTATATTAAAACGGTAATGTTTTATTTGGATACTTGCGGGAATCAGCGTAGAAATCCACATTATTTAAAAACAAACCATAACGTAAAATTAAATCCTTGTAGGAATCAATGTTGATGTCTATATAATTAGTGATAACTATTTTACCTGTAACTTGTTTTCAAAAACCACACATTGATTTTTACAAAGATGTTATTATACTTTCTGTTTTTCTGTAAATTATACGGATTTCTGCCTTGACTCCTGCGAGGATTTACATAGAAAATTCCAGTTTTAAAATAGCATCTGATTTCTTAAAATTATTTTCACGTTAATTTGATTCTACACGTTCTGTAAATTTTGGAAATCCATAGATTCAGCACACCCAAAAATATAAGGTATGGTACCCTGGATCAATTTATTGTTCAGTTTTACAAATGAATTTTGTAAATCAAAAATATGTCCAAAAACTGACCTCTTTGGTCGTTAATGGGTTAACTTAAATAACTCGAAGCTTTAATATTCTCCATCGCAAGTCTAAATATGTTAATGAAGGGTCCCAAAAAGTCTCACTAACAGTAACACCTTATTTATTTAAAAATCGCAATCCGCTGCATGATTCCGAAGCTTAGAGTAACCTAGCTGAATAAAAGTTTTTTTTAGTTATTAAGAAACTTAAGAAGAAAAAAGGAATTAAAGTTATTGAGCAGAATGACTATTTTCGTGGAATCTAATTATTTGTAGAAAATTCACGTAGATTGAATGTATTTAAAAAAAATATCAGACTCTTGAAATTTTTGGTTATTCTAGAATGTTAATAAATAAAATACAAAGTTAATTGTAACTGCTAGTAAAGCAGAAGGCCCGTTAAATAGCTTTTATTCTCTCCAATATTATACAGTTTAGTTTCCAATATTGCATAAAGCATTATAAAAGTTCATATGTAATGAAATGCCGCGGAACCTACGACTCGTTTTTTTTTTAATCTACTTGGATTTTTCTAAAACCCATATAGATTTTTAAAAACTGGGTTTCAGATAATTCAGACGATGTTAAGATGTACATTTCGAAAAAGCCTAGGTCGAGAATTTTTTAAACACACATGGACTTCCATGTCGATTTTTCGATGCCTGGAATCCCACATGATAATTTATGCAAACCCATGGAAACCCATGCCAAATATATGTGGATTCCTAGGTAGAAATCTACGTGGATTTCGATATGGGTTTTTTTAACAGGGTCACGTTCGGAATCTTGCAGCGCATTGACATTTTTCAGAAAAGAAGGTGTTACAGTTATAGGGACTTTCTGGGGCTTTTAATTGAGATTTTAAGGCTCCCAACAAAGAAAATAAAAGCTTATTTTGAGAATTTGAAGTTGATATTTTTATTAGGATGATTTTCACTTCACAATGAAGGAAATTGATAGTTTTGCAAGTTACGCTCTCTGGAGCCCTTCAGTAAATGAGTTTTCATCTATTATAATGAAATGGGGGAAATCGGCGCATTACCGAGTGAATGGATTTATATCCTTACCTTGGCATCCAACTTTTTTTTCTCTATTTCAGTTTGAACTAGTTCCAATTCTGTCTCGTATCGAAGGACTTTGATTTGATGTTTTTCATTTATGATTTTATATGTTTCTAATCTTTCATTCAGTATATCCATGTTATGTTTTAATTTTGCGTTCTCGTTATTTATCTTTTCCAAATCTCTTTCTAATGTTTTTATTGTAAAGAGCATGTGCTGCTTTGTATGTTTGGGCAGATCATTATTAATGTCAGTAGTTGTAGTACTGCCACCCTCAAGAACCTCATTTAGTGGTTTTTGAAGTAATAAAGTGTTAGTTTGTACAAATGTCTTTTTTTTTTCAATTAACTTTCTTTGTGCTTCGCGATCGATTTCCTGAAAGCGGTGCATATATGATAATTGAGTTGACAAGTTGCAGTTTTACACGGAGATAATTTATGGGCAGCAAATCTATAAAACCACAGTATTGGTTTTTGCACGACTGCGATGTGTGAGCCTCGTAACTTTCATAGGAGAAACACACCGCCTTGTGTTTTGCATAATACACTCGAACTTTAATAAGGAATATAATATAATAATAATGGCGACTATGTTGAAAAGGAGACTATGTTGAAACATAAATCGGCACTTTTATAAAATTTTCGTTTTTCTCTTGCAAGTCAAGTACTTCTCGGACCACCCTCATATTTTTACTACTCGCACGCAAAACAAATTCTTCGCGCTCGCTGCGCGGATTCGCACGCCAAATCGTTATAACAATCAAAAGGGGAAGGTGCACCTACCGCGAGGATGATGTGGATACGGTGGCCAACCGTATCCGGACGACGAATCGTTAAAACGCCGCTACGCTGCTCGCTGCACCGCCTCTATGCTGTTATTGCTGTTGCTGCTGTCGCCACTGATGTTGTTGCTGTTGATGCTGCTGCTATAGCTGCTATTGCAGTTGCTGCTACTGCTATTCCTGCTGCTGCTGCTGCTGCTGCACCTCACCGAAGCCCGCACTCTCACCAGGATCAAACAGCGCACGAAAAACTGAACGGCTCGGAAAAATACGGAGGTTAGGCGCACGAACTGACTGAGTGGCACAGTCATACTAGCGCTCGGAGCCTCCCCTCCCGGTCATTGCCCCTTACGCGCTCTCTCTCTCTCGCGAACCGAACGCGGCTCACCTCGCTTAGCCGCTTATTACCTCGCGCGAGTCCTACGATTTTCGGCAATCGTTGCAAAGCAATATTACATTATTCAATACTGCTGATGGGTAACTATTTATAAAAATTCTAATTTTCAGCAACAGATAATATGCAAAGGACTGTACAAGATAGCCTTGGTATCTCAATGACAAATAGTAATTTTAATGCTGTTTCAAATACTTCAAATTCTAATCAGGATGTTCGATTAGATTCAAATGGTATTATAAATTATTGATACATAGAAAAAATATTTATTACGCATAATTAACTTAATATTGTAGCATATTTTTTCGGCTGATAATAATATGTTTTATGTTATTTTATATCAAGTGAATGGATCTTTCATTAATGGCGATGAATCTGCTCCTGAAAATATTGTAAGTTACCTTCTACTTATGAATGTTTTATGAGCATGTAGAATATCATTTAATAGTGATTTATATATAAAAATATCATATGCTTTATAACTGCATCTACATTTACACAATTAATTTATTAAACACAAGAAAATTGTTTTCATATTTTGGTTGTCAAATCTGGGAGAGATTTTATGTGGATCAATAGAGCTGCGATAAAAATTCAGTTGTAAGATTTGATTTTCTTTGTTCAAATAAGATTGGTCAAGTGTTATATTTGAGAATATCAAGTTTCAAATAAAGATTCAATAAAAATGAAATTTATGGGATTTTATAAAATAGATAAAGATTTTTAAGTATTAAAATATATAAGAATTTCATAAGTAACAAGTAGACGCACGTAGCTCATTCAAAGGGGAACAATTGCAGTCAGAGTGTACAATACATGACTACATGTAACTGATTTCACAAAAGTCACCAAGTTATAGTTTTGCAATGCCTATTCGCCTGTCAGTTTACCTCCGTAAGGAGGTATGAGGGAAAAAGATGGTCTTTTATTTAGCATCTGCACAGGTAATATGATGTAATCTGTCTTCTGCTTCAGTCAACATAACCAAATGTTTACGTATATACACATTGTCGAACCTCTTTTGTGCTGTCTTGTGCTCTTCTTTCTGTGTATAAAAGTCTTTGATTGTTACTGGTGATTTTGAGGAGACCAATTTTGCCATCATTGAACAAAGTCACAGCCATATCTACCCCAAGTTCTAGTACAGGGCATTCATTGAATGAAGTTTTTGGTAATAGTTTCCAGATACAGTTGGTGAAACTTTCATTATTGTTTTGAGTAAAACCTCCTAAACATCTCTCAAGCAATTCATTGTCTGTCAAAGCCTTATACACTGGTTTCATGGCATCCATCACAGCACTTGGAAGTGATTTTTTGTAATTGAAGCTTTTTTTGTTTTTTCAGCCTTGGCTTTTTGATATCTGCACCAGCTGTTTTACCCATACCCACTGGGCAAAAGTGATGCTGTAGGTTTCCATCAGTGGAACTCTTATGGTAGTACGTGGTCTAAATGGAATTTTTCATTTCTTGCACTGTTGTTGAAGATTTGTCTTGGATAGCATTCCCATAGTAAATTATAAATTGATCAATCACCTTCAAAGTAAGCCTACCTCTTTCATCGATAGTTTTTCCATCTGACAACTTTTGGTTTCCAAGACTTTTTTTCAGATTCCTGAGCCGAGTACCCATTCTCTTGTGCACATGGCACATTCTTTCTTGCTAGTTGTTAATTCATTTCCATATAGATTCCTGTTTTGGATTGCCAATGAAATTTTGCAATCACCATCTCCAATATAGAATTCAAGCATGAAACAATACTTCAAGTATTTCCAAGATGTCATTGACTTCCATTTTGCCAGCACAACCAACATGATTAGCTTGACACTTAGACTGATGCTCTTCTCACCACTCGTTATACTCAGCAGTACCTTTTTTGTTTTCCATCTGTTTACAGTCCAAACAGTAGTTATGTTTAACACATGTGGCAATCACTTTATCAGTTTCAACTCCAATTAAACTGGTCACTCCTTGGAGAGAATTGAATCCTTTCTTGCGCCAAGTCCCAATGAAAATATTTTATAATATATATTTATGTCATATGTAATTATGTAATATATGATGATTGTATCATACACAATTATATAATATACAATATATATTTGAAAATGAATTTTCACTATAACTGATTTAAGCTGACACGGAAAATATTTGAATGCAAAGAAACTTGTAATTTTGTTGATTTTTAAAAAGTTGCGTAAAAAACTGTTTTGGAATGTAACGTATAACTTATGAACGGATTAAAATTTTTGAAAACGGAGAACGGCATTTTATTCTACGTTAAATTTCCTAAAAGAAAGGCCAATAAAAAAATCGAATTCAGACTGTAAAATATTATTCCATGGTTTTATTAATTAATACAAAAATGCTTTATGAATAAATTATATGTTTTGGATATTTGGTTTGTCGCAAATTCATAAATCTCAATCAAAAGAACCCCTAAAATTTCCTTTAAACCAATAACGACCAAAGACGTCATTTTTTGGACATGTTTTTGATCGCAAAACATATATATATAAAACGAAATAATAAATTAATCCAAGATATTGTCTCTTATGTCTTCGGATGTGCTGAATCCGAGTCCGAGCTCAGAATTCAAAAATTTGGCTTAGAAAATTAATTATAACAGGGTTTTTATAAAAAAGAATAGGGAAAGATTCAACAATTCTTTTTTTCACCAATTTTTTTCTAGCATAAATCGCGTCAACATCAAAATCGCTCTTCAACCATAGGTGCACAAAATTGTTGAACAAAATTGTTGAAAAAAATTGGCAAAAAAAAGAATTGTCGAATCTTTCCCTATTTTTTTTTATAAAAACCCTGTTATAATTAATTTTGTTAGCAAAATTTTTGAATTCTGAGCTCGGATTCAGATTCAGCACATCCGAAGACATAAGGGACAATATCTTGGATCAATTTATTGTTTCGTTTTATACATATGTTTTGCGATCAAAAACATGTCCAAAAAATGACGTCTTTGGTCGTTAATGAGTTAACTAAAGGACTTTATTTTTTTGAAAAAAGAAAATGAAGTCAATATAAAACATTTTTTAAGTGCTCATTTTCTTCGTTTGAATTGTTATTTGAAAATGAGAAAAGCCCTTTTTGAAAAAGTCAATTTTTCAAATTATTTATCCATTTACATTAACAAAAATTCTTTAAATAATTATTTCCTAATTTGTCAGAGTCAAAGGAAATGTGCTATCCCAAAATGATTTTTGTTCATTCTATCGTTCGTAATCGTACGACGCTCAAAGATTTTTCAAAAAATAAGATTTCACAGTTAGAAGGGCTTTCTAGGTCCCTTAAGGGGACCAGAGCGGGTCTCACAGTAAAAATTTAAGACTTTGTTTATTGCCGTATAGATATCATTCTACTAAAGATATGGATGTGGGAATTTTTTCATTTGAAGTACTCTTAATAACCTTTAATATTCTTTAAAAATATCGATTGTACACCTAATATGGACACAGTAAACACCAAGCTCTATTTTTCAAAAAATTTGGCTTTGACACGCTTTTCTGAATACCAGAGTGGACAAAAATCGTTTTATGAGAGCTCTTTTTTTTGTCATGAATCGGACTACAGAATGAGCGGAGCACTTTTCTAAAAAAGCCGATTCTTCCTATTCTTTTAGACCAATATATGAAATTTTATTTTTTTTTTAAATTTGTTTTTTTGAAATTTATCTCAAAAAAATAGGAATTATCAACGTTTTATAGAAATGCGCTCCGCTCATTCTGTAGTCCGATTGATGACAAAAAAAATGAGCTCTCAAAAACGATTTTTGTCCACTCTGGCATTCAGAAAAGCGTGGTATAGCCCAATTTTTTGAAAAATAGAGCTTGGTGTTTGTTGTGTCTATATTAGGTGTAAAATGGATATATCGGAACTTATAACAAAGAAAATCAAAGCTTACTAAGAGTAATTTAAGATGAAATAATTCCCACATCCATATCTTTAATAGAATGATTTCTATACGGCAATAAACAAAGTCTTAAATTTTTACTGCGAGACCCCCTCTGGTCCCCTTAAGGAGACCAGACGGGGTTTAACGGGCAAAATTGAGTGTGATCTTTACTTGTGTATTAAAATAGTCCTAATAAAGATACTGGAATGAATCTTTTTTATCTTGAAGTACTCTCTAGAATCTTTAGTTTTCTGCCTTGTAGACTCCAAAATCCTAATTAGAAGACTATCTAAACTAAATAATCCTAATTTTTTATTGAAAAATGATTTACGGTTGAGAGGACTTGCCGGGTCTACTAATTAGGATTTTGGAGTTTATAAGGCAGAAAACTAAAGCTTATAGAGAGTACTTCAAGATAAAAAAAGATTCATTCCGACATCTTTATTAGGGCTATTTTAATGTGCGAGTAAAGATCACACCCAATTTTTCATGTTAAATCCTATCTGGTCTCCTTAATTGATATTTTTGGGTTTGCAACAAAGAAAACTCGAGTTCAATTCAAGTAATGATACGATATATTAACAATTCTATTAAACACCCTTAATAACATAGATTTCCACCTATAAGTCCACCTTGATTTCCAGGTGGGTTTCTATTAATTTGCATTGATTTCCATGTGGGATTCCAGGTATCGAAAAATCCAGGCGGAAATCCATGTGAGTTTAAAGAATTCTTCGATCTAAGTTTTCTCGAAATCCATGTCTTAGAATCGGCTGAATTTTCTATAATCCACCTGACTTTATGAAAATCTTCATGGATTTGAGAAAATCAAAGTGGAATCAGAAAAAAGAAGGCATGGGTCCTGCGCAATTTCATTATCACCTGTCTTTTCAAATTATAGATTTCATATATTTATTTTGATTATTAAAAGAGAAAGAATAATTAATAACTTTAAAAAATTACAAGTTGTTGAGCAGCATGAATATTTGTGTGGAATGTAATTATTTCTTGAAAACTCACGTATAATCTGGCATTGGATTTATTTACAAAAGTTATCCGCCTTTCTAAAATTTTGGGTCATTCTTTATTTTTCAACATTGTAGATCAAACATTTTTAAAGCCCGATAACTTTTGTAACTGCATCCAATGTAGAACTGTATGTGAGTTTTCAAGAAATATTAACATTCCACAAAAATATCCGTGCTACTCAACAACTTTTAACTCCTTGAAGTTTTTGATAATGCTCTCTCGGATAACAATTAAAATGATTATATGAAATCTGTAATTTAAAAACATCCATGTCTCCTTTTTTTCTAAATCCTCCTGGATTTTCTAAAATCCATATTATCAAATTATATGAGTCAGTTAGGTTAGTAAATGAAATGTTCCTTCGCGTCATTCACAAATACACACACATACACACAAACACACGCACGCGCGCGCGCGCATACACACAAATAGCTGTGTATTTGAGCTCATCTAAACACATATCAATTTTTGTTAACTCAGGTGGATTATAGGAAATCGATGTTAAGATTCAGAATTACTATTGTTGAAAATAAATATTTAATAAATTTTTATATTTATTTGTATTTTCATAGATTAAGTTTGATTTCTGTATTTGTAATATAATTAATAAATTTCAGGCCTGATGATGCCAACAAAATAATTAGCGAAACATCGTCTTTAAATGTTTAATAGCATTTTGTTGATTAGTTATAACTGAAATTCTTTAAAAATATTGATAGATAATTCAGCCTATTTTACGACATGGATTTCGAGAAAACCTAGATCGAGGATTTTTTTGGAACCTATATGGATTTCCATGTGGATTTTTCGATGTCTGAAATTCCATCTGGATTCCATGCAGATCTATAGGAACTCACCTGGAAAACCATGTGGATTTATAGGTGGAAAGCAATGTGCATTTCCATATAGATTTTTTCGATAGATTTGTTAAGACAACAGGCAACTCTGTAAACGCTGCGAAAAATTCACATCTGAGTTGAAAAGTTAGAAAAGAAGTCACAGGTAGTGTGTAGTTGCAGTAATAAAATGGAACTATTAAAAAAAATAAATAATAATTTTGATCCGCTGTCTTCACCTCTTATTGCTAATATATATGCATTTTCCAAAAAAAAAACTTCTTCAATTAGGTACCATTTTGCCGAAATTTTTAAATAGGTACACATTCCTAAATCTTGCATTTTTTCATTCTACATTTTTTTATTCTTCCATGCTATCAGAAATAAGGAAATAAATTTGCCTACATCAAGAAAAGCTTGTGAAACACTTTTTTCGTTCGCAAAGTGCTAAAATCATAGAAAAATAGTGTTATTTTGTGTCTTTCTTATGTTTTACAAAAAAATGAGAGACGATAGCGAGAATGTGATTTTAGATTCGGATTCCTTAGATAAATTTCGTGCAAAATTAATGAAGTTTTTTTGTGAAAAAACACGCGGACACACACACACACACACACATACACACACGCACACACACACTCACACACATATATTTGTTATTCTCAATTATTCAAACAAAAATTGTTTACATAGAAAACTAATGTTGATTAATTTATTTAATCTAGGATATAGATCCGCTTCCACTCGACAATGGAGACTATATTGACGATAGCAGTGACGAAAAAGAAGATTTTAATGATTTGTCAACCGATGACAATGAAATTGTTAATAATAGGCTACATGATTTAGAAGAAATGATAAATGATGAAGAATGTAATGAGTGTCTAAATTCGCAGATAACTGTTAGCAAAATAGAGATGATACTAGCTATGATGAAATTTTGCAACAAATATCATATTCCTACGACGGGAGTTGTAGATATGTTCAAGATGCAAAATATGTTTCTCAATCAAAAAATTTTTCCTGAGAATTCTTATCAAGTAAATAAGCTGTTCAATCCAGAAGGAGGTAGAGAGTATCACGCTGTGTGCCCTGTGTGTGAAGGCTATCTAAGTACGTTTGGTAAGGGGCAGCAAATAATATTTTGTAAGACGTGCGATGATAATATAAACTTGAAAGATCCTACATATAGTGATTATTTTGTCACTTTCGATGTG